GGCTCCAATGTCAAATTTATGACAAGTAAGAATTCAACTTTGACCCTCTCTAACTTCAACACCTGTTAGAATTGAACAATTTTGTTTGTAAAATTATGTTTCTACACTTTTTAAAAATGTTTTCTCAAATTTTGAAGTTTATAAATCTATTAGTTTGGAAATAGTGACGAAATAAAGGCTCCAATGTCAAATTTATGACAAGTAAGAATTCAACTTTGACCCTCTCTAACTTCAACACCTGTTAAAATTGAACAATTTTGTTTGTAAAATTATGTTTCTACACTTTTTAAAAATGTTTTCTCAAATTTTGAAGTTTATAAATCTATTAGTTTGGAAATAGTGACGAAATAAAGGCTCCAATGTCAAATTTATGACAAGTAAGAATTCAACTTTGACCCTCTCTAACTTCAACACCTGTTAAAATTTAACAATGTTGTTTGTAAAATTATATTTCTACACTTTTTAAAAATATTTTCTCAAATTTTGAAGTTTATAAATCTATTAGTTTGGAAATAGAAACGAAATAAAGGGTCCAATGTCAAATTTATAACAAGTAAGAATTCAACTTTGGTACTCTCTAACTTTAACACCTGTTAAAATTTAACAATGTTGTTTGTAAAATTATGTTTCTACACTTTTTAAAAATGTTTTCTCAAATTTTGAAGTTTATAAATCTATTAATTTGGAAATAGTGACGAAATAAAGGCACCAATGTCAAATTTATAACAAGTAAGAATTCAACTTTGACCCTCTCTAACTTCAACACCTGTTAAAATTTAACAATGTTGTTTGTAAAATTATGTTTCTACACTTTTTAAAAATGTTTTCTCAAATTTTGAAGTTTATAAATCTATTAGTTTGGAAATAGTGACGAAATAAAGGCTCCAATGTCAAATTTATGACAAGTAAGAATTCAACTTTGACCCTCTCTAACTTTAACACCTGTTAAAATTTAACAATGTTGTTTGTAAAATTATATTTCTACACTTTTTAAAAATATTTTCTCAAATTTTGAAGTTTATAAATCTATTAGTTTGGAAATAGTGACGAAATAAAGGCTCCAATGTCAAATTTATGACAAGTAAGAATTCAACTTTGACCCTCTCTAACTTCAACACCTGTTAAAATTTAACAATGTTGTTTGTAAAATTATGTTTCTCACTTTTTAAAAATGTTTTCTCAAATTTTGAAGTTTATAAATCTATTAGTTTGGAAATAGTGACGAAATAAAGGCTCCAATGTCAAATTTATGACAAGTAAGAATTCAACTTTGACCCTCTCTAACTTCAACACCTGTTAAAATTTAACAATGTTGTTTGTAAAATTATGTTTCTCCACTTTTTAAAAATGTTTTCTCAAATTTTGAAGTTTATAAATCTATTAGTTTGGAAATAGTGACGAAATAAAGGCTCCAATGTCAAATTTATGACAAGTAAGAATTCAACTTTGACCCTCTCTAACTTCAACACCTGTTAAAATTTAACAATGTTGTTTGTAAAATTATGTTTCTACACTTTTTAAAAATGTTTTCTCAAATTTTGAAGTTTATAAATCTATTAGTTTGGAAATAGTGACAAAATAAAGGCTCCAATGTCAAATTTATGACAAGTAAGAATTCAACTTTGACCCTCTCTAACTTCAACACCTGTTAAAATTGAACCATTTTGTTTGTAAAATTATATTTCTACACTTTTTAAAAATGTTTTCTCAAATTTTGAAGTTTATAAATCTATTAGTTTGGAAATAGTGACGAAATAAAGGCTCCAATGTCAAATTTATGACAAGTAAGAATTCAACTTTGACCCTCTCTAACTTCAACACCTGTTAAAATTGAACAATTTTGTTTGTAAAATTATGTTTCTACACTTTTTAAAAATGTTTTCTCAAATTTTGAAGTTTATAAATCTATTAGTTTGGAAATAGTGACGAAATAAAGGCTCCAATGTCAAATTTATGACAAGTAAGAATTCAACTTTGACCCTCTCTAACTTCCAACACCTGTTAAAATTTAACAATGTTGTTTGTAAAATTATATTTCTACACTTTTTAAAAATATTTTCTCAAATTTTGAAGTTTATAAATCTATTAGTTTGGAAATAGAAACGAAATAAAGGGTCCAATGTCAAATTTATAACAAGTAAGAATTCAACTTTGGTACTCTCTAACTTTAACACCTGTTAAAATTTAACAATTTTGTTTGTAAAATTATGTTTCTACACTTTTTAAAAATATTTTCTCAAATTTTGAAGTTTATAAATCTATTAGTTTGGAAATAGTGACGAAATAAAGGCTCCAATGTCAAATTTATAACAAGTAAGAATTCAACTTTGGTACTCTCTAACTTTAACACCTGTTAAAATTTAACAATGTTGTTTGTAAAATTATGTTTCTACACTTTTTAAAAATGTTTTCTCAAATTTTGAAGTTTATAAATCTATTAGTTTGGAAATAGTGACGAAATAAAGGCTCCAATGTCAAATTTATGACAAGTAAGAATTCAACTTTGACCCTCTCTAACTTCAACACCTGTTAGAATTGAACATTTTTGTTTGTAAAATTATGTTTCTACACTTTTTAAAAATGTTTTCTCAAATTTTGAAGTTTATAAATCTATTAGTTTGGAAATAGTGACGAAATAAAGGCTCCAATGTCAAATTTATGACAAGTAAGAATTCAACTTTGACCCTCTCTAACTTCAACACCTGTTAAAATTGAACAATTTTGTTTGTAAAATTATGTTTCTACACTTTTTAAAAATGTTTTCTCAAATTTTGAAGTTTATAAATCTATTAGTTTGGAAATAGTGACGAAATAAAGGCTCCAATGTCAAATTTATGACAAGTAAGAATTCAACTTTGACCCTCTCTAACTTCAACACCTGTTAAAATTTAACAATGTTGTTTGTAAAATTATATTTCTACACTTTTTAAAAATATTTTCTCAAATTTTGAAGTTTATAAATCTATTAGTTTGGAAATAGAAACGAAATAAAGGGTCCAATGTCAAATTTATAACAAGTAAGAATTCAACTTTGGTACTCTCTAACTTTAACACCTGTTAAAATTTAACAATGTTGTTTGTAAAATTATGTTTCTACACTTTTTAAAAATGTTTTCTCAAATTTTGAAGTTTATAAATCTATTAATTTGGAAATAGTGACGAAATAAAGGCACCAATGTCAAATTTATAACAAGTAAGAATTCAACTTTGACCCTCTCTAACTTCAACACCTGTTAAAATTTAACAATGTTGTTTGTAAAATTATGTTTCTACACTTTTTAAAAATGTTTTCTCAAATTTTGAAGTTTATAAATCTATTAGTTTGGAAATAGTGACGAAATAAAGGCTCCAATGTCAAATTTATGACAAGTAAGAATTCAACTTTGACCCTCTCTAACTTTAACACCTGTTAAAATTTAACAATGTTGTTTGTAAAATTATATTTCTACACTTTTTAAAAATATTTTCTCAAATTTTGAAGTTTATAAATCTATTAGTTTGGAAATAGTGACGAAATAAAGGCTCCAATGTCAAATTTATGACAAGTAAGAATTCAACTTTGACCCTCTCTAACTTCAACACCTGTTAAAATTTAACAATGTTGTTTGTAAAATTATGTTTCTCACTTTTTAAAAATGTTTTCTCAAATTTTGAAGTTTATAAATCTATTAGTTTGGAAATAGTGACGAAATAAAGGCTCCAATGTCAAATTTATGACAAGTAAGAATTCAACTTTGACCCTCTCTAACTTCAACACCTGTTAAAATTTAACAATGTTGTTTGTAAAATTATGTTTCTCCACTTTTTAAAAATGTTTTCTCAAATTTTGAAGTTTATAAATCTATTAGTTTGGAAATAGTGACGAAATAAAGGCTCCAATGTCAAATTTATGACAAGTAAGAATTCAACTTTGACCCTCTCTAACTTCAACACCTGTTAAAATTTAACAATGTTGTTTGTAAAATTATGTTTCTACACTTTTTAAAAATGTTTTCTCAAATTTTGAAGTTTATAAATCTATTAGTTTGGAAATAGTGACGAAATAAAGGCTCCAATGTCAAATTTATGACAAGTAAGAATTCAACTTTGACCCTCTCTAACTTCAACACCTGTTAAAATTTAACAATGTTGTTTGTAAAATTATGTTTCTACACTTTTTAAAAATGTTTTCTCAAATTTTGAAGTTTATAAATCTATTAGTTTGGAAATAGTGACGAAATAAAGGCTCCAATGTCAAATTTATGACAAGTAAGAATTCAACTTTGACCCTCTCTAACTTCAACACCTGTTAAAATTTAACAATGTTGTTTGTAAAATTATGTTTCTCCACTTTTTAAAAATGTTTTCTCAAATTTTGAAGTTTATAAATCTATTAGTTTGGAAATAGTGACGAAATAAAGGCTCCAATGTCAAATTTATGACAAGTAAGAATTCAACTTTGACCCTCTCTAACTTCAACACCTGTTAAAATTTAACAATGTTGTTTGTAAAATTATGTTTCTACACTTTTTAAAAATGTTTTCTCAAATTTTGAAGTTTATAAATCTATTAGTTTGGAAATAGTGACACAATAAAAGCTCCAATGTCAAATTTATGACAAGTAATAATTCAACTTTGACCCTCTCTAACTTCAACACCTGTTAAAATTTAACAATTTTGTTTGTAAAATTATATTTCTACACTTTTTAAAAATGTTTTCTCAAATTTTGAAGTTTATAAATCTATTAGTTTGGAAATAGTGACGAAATAAAGGCTCCAATGTCAAATTTATGACAAGTAAGAATTCAACTTTGACCCTCTCTAACTTTAACACTTGTTAAAATTTGAAAATGTTGTTTGCAGTATTACGTTTCTACACTTTCATAAATATTTTCTGAAATTTTGAAGTTTATAAATCTATTAGTTTAGAAATAGTGACGAAATAAAGGCTTCAATGTCAAATTAATGGGTTGTTATCCTAAATATTTTATTTAAAAATACAAAAATCATCATATACTCACCTTAACTGCATACTGCTGACCGGTAGTTTTATGTCTAGCTAACTTACAAACGCTATAACTACCTCCACCGATCACATCCAACAAGATATAATCGTCGAAAAAGTTCCTATCGATGGTTCTCACAGAATTATTCAATGGCGTTTCGGTTTTCTTCGGCAAATTGCCGTTCTCCAACAAACACGGCGCTATAAAACTAAATCTGCAATAAAAAATAACCATTTTCGAATAAATACCAGTTCACAATACACCAAGAGGTATAAGTTAATAAAAGGAATGTTATTTAATATAAAATTAATATTTTCCAGACATTTGGAAATGCATTTGTGTGGTGCATATCTTCAAAAATTGAATTAAATGCAATATATTCAGAATTACAGACATATCAGGGGTAGGGGTTGGCTAAATATTCGATTAATCAATTTTAAAATAACTGATTAATGAAAAATAATAGATCTCTCAATTAACGAATAATAGAAAACAATCATTGAAGAAAAAATAATTGATTAATTAAAAATAATCGATTTTAATAATTGCTGCCCAGTCCTAATCAGTATGTTATCTATTATTCCTCAACCTTTTGAAAAATTAATAATTATCAGTGATCTTTATTGATATTGCATAGAAATTTGAAGAACATAACATTGGTCGCTACCAAATAGTCCCATACCAGTTTTTTTCTTACCCTCTAAATAGCTCGTGCGCATTGGCACTCGCAGGCACGCCCGGTGAATCTCTGGGAGTTTTACTGGTGAATTCCGAATCGAAGTAAGCGTCTTCGGGGCCGCAAACGGCCGGTTGAAACGGGGGTCGTATTTTCCGACTTAAAAGGGCGTCGAAATCGATGGTGGCGAAGAATTCGTGGTTTTTTAAGTCATCGATTCCACCTGGTCCTGAACACAACCTACGAGAAGAAAGAAAGATAATAGGAGATAAAGAAAAAACCATAGATAAATGGATAAAAAGAGACAGTTCGAAAGAAATCAATATTTTACTACAATGCAATCCTTTCAATTTGAAAAAATATCTCACCTGTTAGCCGGATTCCTTTTGAACAACACCCTCAGCAACCCCTGCGCTTCTGGGCTCAGATTGGACGGCATGCCCAATTTGGCTTTGAGAATTTGATTCATGGTATCTCTACGATTCGAACCTTGAAACGGAAGTGTACCGGTAAGCATTTCGTACATCAGAACGCCGAACGACCACCAATCGGCGGCGAAAGTATGCCCTTTACGGTTGACAACCTCCGGTGCCATGTATTCCACCTATTTCATTCATAATAACGTTAGTAATGTACACATTTGCTTCGAAAGTAACAGAAATCAAAATTCACATATTAAAACCACAGCTTATACAATACAGCTCCACAACTCCGTGTCGGCGTCTTTGATCTGGCGGTCGAGAACCAAGCAAGACGGAATACATACATTTTAATTTGCCAGGCAAAAACGTGACACCCTGTATATCCAAAGATATTTTTAAAATATGTAGGTATTTTTCAAATCCATATAACTTTTATTTAAAACTTTCTTGCGTGTCTACAACAAAATAATGAACAATAACGCACTAATGGGACACCCTGTATAAATTATATTTTTAACAATGAAAATTTCTTATAATGTGGTACTTATCGGTTTGGGTCCTTGGGAAAACTAAAGAATGTTTTCTTGCAGGTATAACCCTTATTAAAACAGCTTTTGACTGCACAAACAGAATGATGTCTTTTTTTTCATTCATTCTACTCACAGCTAAAGAGTCACCAAAATAATAACAGTACCTTTAACTCAAACAAAATCTACGAAATTATAGGCTCCACGAAATTATACAATCAACGAAATTATACGCACGACTCAACACCTTACCTAAGTACACTTCTGAACGCCAAAACCGTCTTTTCCCTTCGAAGTCGGAGCTTAAGCGATGCGCGACGAAATCGACGCAAACCGTTGCCGCCAAGAGAGTGTTTTAGCTGTATTGTTAAGCTGTGTTAAAACCTCAAAAATGACACAGGCGCCATCTAGACAAGTCTCTTTTAAGCTAAGAGATTGATCTTAATGATTGGTATACAATTATTTGCTAACTAGTGTCAGTTTTGAAGCAAGGTTAGGATTTTTTTTATTGTATAGAATGTAAATGTTGCTTACGGTGCCGCAAAAGCTGTACGCTTTTCCTTCCTCTAGCGGTAACTTTGACAGCCCAAAATCGGTCAATGCTATATGTCCGTCCGAATCTAACAATACGTTTTCCGGTTTCAGATCCCTGTAAATGATGCCGAGAGTGTGAAGGTGGTTCAAAGCCAGCGCTAGCTCGGCTAAATAGAATTTGACGTCTTCTTCTGTGAACATAACCTAGAAATTTGTTGTTCTTCATGAGGATTCATAATAATTATTCGGATTGTGATATTTTTAATATAGGTTTGTTTTCTTTAAAGCCTCAACTTTCATTGTATTACTCCATTTTTATTTTATTGTATTATTCTATTTAATTTTTTTCTCGATTTTTTGAGATTTTTCGAGTGGCCGTATCTTTGGTAAAAATGGTCGTACGTGAATGAAAACAAAAAGCAATTTGAAGCTTGAAGTGTCTAGTTTATGGATCTTACAATAAAACATTTTTCCAACCAACAATTAGCACAAAATCCTGATGAATATCATGGATAGACAATTTTTGAAAAAAAAAAAAAATTTTAATTTTTAGTGTAGGGACTTGAAAAACATTTTCTCGATATTACCACTATATGCATTGAATAGATGGTTCAGTTAGCTTCAATTCCTTTTTTTGATGGCCTCGAGATGACCCTTCCTTGCTGAGTTATCAGAAAATGAACGAAAATGCATCATTTCCTTTTATCTTGTCAATATCTCAGGAACCAATAGCCGCTCAGAAAATGGAAGGGGGGTTTCGGAAATTTCGATTCATTATCTACAAGGTTCTGGCATGTTCTTTAAAGAGAAAAATGTTTTTTCCATCCCTAGCATGACTTTGAAGAATTTCGGAAAACAGGTCTTTTTGAGGTTTTTTAGAAAATCACGTGCCACATTGAGAATATTGGGAAAATGAATAATGTTGAGTGTGCATCTTACAGGCCATTGTTCCCCCGAAAGCCCTACAAAATTTCAACCTGATCCATTAAGCTGTTTCATTGTTTCATGAGAGTGAATTTTTGAAGAAATTGAAGCATCGCGTTTTTCTATATATGATATTCATCAGGATTTTGTGCTAATTGTTGGTTGGAACATTTTTTTATCGTAATATCCATAAACTAGATACTTCAAGCTTCAAATTGCTTTTTTTTTTCATTCACGTACGACCATTTTTAACAAAGATACAGCCATTCGAAAAATCGCAAAAATCGAGATTTTTTTGATCCCTTAATTTTTTCCACTAGTGTATGTTTTTAGTTTATAATTGAAACGACTTTGCAAACTAAGTAATTATGTAAATAAATAAATAGTAAATTTAAAATATCAATCAAAAAATAAATATTTTCATATAACTAGACATTAATTAATATAAAAATATTAAAAAGAACAGGACAAAGATTCGAACCTTGGGGAACTTACCTCTTTGCTCAACCTAGAAAACAAATCTCCACCTCTAAGAAAATCCAACACCAAATAAAGCTTCCCTTCAGTTTGAAAAGCGTAGTGTAATTTAACTATAAATGGATGTTCCACATCTACCAATATGTTCCTCTCCATTTTAGTTCTATGTCGATCTCTGACTCTTAGAGTCGCTTTTTTCAATACCTTCATGGCGTAGAGAGTCCCAGCATCGGCTCCGACCACTTTTCTGGCAAGGAATACTTTTCCAAAGGACCCTTCTCCCAGGACTTTGAGCAATTCAAACTGGGAGGGGTCCGCTTTATCATGACCGTTTCTGACCAGCTGAAATTAAATATTAATTGAGATTTTGTTTAAATAATAAGTACTTGTAATACAGAAGACTTCAGTATCTTTTAAAGTGTGGAGGATGGATTGCCCCAGAGAAATTATGCCAATTTATAGATAAATCGAATTCACTGAATTTTCCTGAATTTGTGGTATTCTAGGCAACATCAGCCCACAAAATATATTTTTTAATTGCTATAAAGGCCCTGTATATCAGAAAGTATATAACTGCAAAATACTGAAGCCAATTCCTCCATAAGCTGGCCTTTTCCTCTTTGTAATTAAATAAAAATAAATTAAACAAATGACACCACTTTGAACATTTAAGTAACCACTAGTCTTATGTATACTAAAATAAAGACTGACATGCAAATATTAGTTATTTAAATCAGTATTATTAAAATTTACCATCTATAACCAAACACTCACAGAGAATTGTTTTTTAAAATTGTTTAATCAACTGGCAGTAGATAGGAAATATTTAACATGCCAAATTTGTTTTGGTGTAAAAATATTTCAAAAATCTTATTGGTAAGAGAATTTAAGATATTCACATTAGCTCACAAATAAAAAAAATTGTTTACTTACTTCTCCAAGTTCAATTTCATGTTCTCCTTCATTGAGACCTGATTCTTCTGTGGAATTCTGTTCTTCAGCATCTCCAGATTGTGACTGAAAATGATTTTAAAAGATATTGAACAGTTCTGTAGAAATTTGATTATTTTACAAAATTATAATCAATGTTTAAAAACTGGAAACTCAAAGTTATGATTATTGTAAAGCCTCTCAAGTACTCCAAGTACTTTAGAGGTCTAAGAAAAAAAAATACATGGCATGACACCAAATTAGAATATTTCTTGTAGTTAGTATCGAAATCATTTTATGTTATAATTTTATTTAAGAATGAATAACACCAATAACAAGTCTGTTCTTAAAGTGGCATTGGGAAAGAGTAACAATGCCTATACATATGTTTAACAATGGTAGCAATTTAATTCCAAAGAGTCAGTTCCTAAAAAAAATATTTTTTTATCCATTTTATTATCTTTTATTTTAACTTTCCCCAATACACCACAACCACATTGCATTTGCTTTTATTGGTCAGATTATCATATATAAACAAAAATATTTAAGATTAAATACTCAAGTTATAAAGGTTTTAAAAATATATTTATTAAAAGTAGTATTTGACAGTTTTTAGTAATTATGATTATCATAAATAAACTCAATTTAGCAATTAAAAATTTGAACATGCATGCAATGAAAAAGGAATTAAAATTAAAGTAAAAAAACAAGTTGATAAACCTATTGTCATATACTTAAGATCACTTAAGAAAATTATATTTGCCACCTCTAGTCATTGTACAACCAGCTGTTCTTCATTTCTTTAACATGAATAAATTTAAATCATTCAAATGTTACAAATTGCTAACGTTCATGTATTTATTTAAGGAAATTTTAGTTATTTAAAAAATGTCAACATTTGTATATGTTGAATATTCATACAAACAAAAAATCCCAAGCATTAAGTGTATTTAGCTCATTACAAGCATGAGTTTGTCATTGTCTATAAGACACTGAATTTTTATTATCATGCAAAAATAATGTGTTTTTGTATAGGCCACAAAAAGTTGCAAAAAAAAAACGTAAACTTTTACGTACAGATACTATTCTTAGGGACCTGGATACTCCAAAAGCTGCAAAATGAACAAACTGGTTAAACAATTATAAAAAATGATGGTAGGTGTGCAATTTAATATAAATTAAACAAACAAAATAGATTTTTATACAAGCAAAAAAGTTTGCTTACAAAAATTTGGTAAACGTTTTCGAACTAACCTCTGAATCGGCGTGATGAATTTGCCATGGTTCCGCTGAGTTTGCTAACGGCATAGTAGATAATTTATTTGGGGACAATTTTATTTATTCACATCACTATTTTCACGAAAAATGGCTAACAAAAGTTATATTTTCCATCAACAACAAGATCAAACCACGAACATCATAAAAACACTGACGTTTTAGGAATGACAAATAAGTGACATTTAAAATAATTTTAATAATTGTACCAACTTTCCAAAATATGTGTAAAATTACGATAAAAACTGTATAATTATAAGATAAAAAAGGATACAAATACAGTCAGAATGACAAAATTTTACAGAGTAGCAAAAACAAACAAACGTACGAATGTATTGAAGATACTGTCCTTGTCACTCCTTATGGACTTCGATCTCATTAAACAAAGATAAGCAGATAAGCTCCGGTAGGGTTACCAACTGTCGCTTGTTCGTTGCTCTCCCTCTCTTATCTAACAAGTATTTCCGGAACGTTGCTTGTTTTCGTGGAAAGTTAGGCAGGTTTCATCGCGTCCAGATTTACGAAAGTGATAAAATTTAATAAATTTTAATTAACTTCATTTCTAATTCTAGTCAGAATGAGTGCAACCGTAGAAACAAATAATGGTAAGTAGTTTTCTAAATATTAGTAGTTTACTTTTAGTTTGATTTTGAGATGGCCTTAAAAAATGGTAATAAAACGCATTATGGAAGCACTCCCAGTGACTTTGACCAGATGCCTGCTTTGAGGTATTTTTATATAATTTTAAAATAAGTCGTATGCTTTTATGAAGTGAATTAATCCAATAAAATTAAATGTTTATTGTTCTAAAATAGAAAACATTTATTAGATAAGTAGGTAACTGAGCATGTGCATAACACATTCCGTTTTTTAAATTATTTATAATTAATTAGAAAATGAGGTTAGGAAACAGTTTTATTTCATTTAAAATACTAATAATTATGTTATTAATGTGATAGAATTCTAAACTGTAGCTGCAAAATAAAACAAATTAAAAAACATGTGTGCAATTTGGCGCTTTTGTGATTTACCTGGTAACCGTCGGGTCATTTTGTTATGTTTATAATTTTTATACATAGGTATGTTATTTATTATGTTATACTTATAAGAAAGCAAGGATAAAAAATAGAACTAATTTAATTGTAGGAACAATAACAGATTATATCAATATTAATTGCTAAATTAAACATAAATAAGTTTTTTCAGTCTTCTAAATGAAGTATGCAGTTTATTTTATTTAAGGTCCATTTTAGAGAAATTATGTATAAGATAAAAATTGTAGAGAATTATATTGCAAACAACTTTTATTTGAACAATTTTTATAAAAAATTAATTTTTTTTTACATTTTGTCAAATTTTTATAATATTGACCATTTTAGGAAAATTTTGTATAGAACAAACATTAAGAGAATAATATTAGAAGTAACTTTTATTTAAAGAATTTTCTTCTCTTTACGAAAATAACAGATATATTCCATAAAATATAAAAATGACCACCTATAAAGTATCCCCCCAGATGTTACGACTCTGCCCAAAATCTAATCAGTTCACTGGAGGCCGGAATAAAGTTTAAGTTTAAAATTTGGTGTTTTTCTTTGTATCCGTTCATGCGTTATTGAGGATACAACACACAAAGACATCGCGAAAATACTCAAAACGGATTTAAAGGACCCCAAAACATATACAGCTAAGAAAGTAAAAAATTGTGCATGGTCTAAAACCTAAAATATATCCATTTTATCAAATTTTATGAGTCATATACGAGACGAGGTTTGTCAAAAATTAATGTACTTTTTACTCTTGAGTAAAAATATTTATTTTGACAAACCTTTTTAATTTTTTTTTTGTTTTTAAATGTTGATTCATAAAAAATGAGCAACTTTGCTTTAGATATATCTCGAAATTTTGAAAAATAATGCCAATTTTTGAAATTTTTAGAAAAAATAATGTCAAGTTTGACATTTATAAAAAGTAATGTAATTGACAATTTGTATGTCATTGTTATCATTTTTTAAGCAACAAAATAAGCTAAAGTTAAAATTAATCTGCAGCATTTAGAAGAAATTAAATAAATCCTATATTATGCACACTTTATGTGTGACTCTGTGTATACTACCTAAAGTCACTCTAGCTTTTCAATTTGAAGAAAAAATAACCCTAAAATCAGCAGTTCTCAATGCATTGTATCTTGAAAACTGGTCATAGTATCTTATACGATGATACAATTATCATATAGGGTGTTTCCTAACTACGGTACGAAACTTTAGATAAAAAAAAGTTCCTATGAACATATGGATAAAGGAAAATTAAATCGATTTCTTCTTGAAATGTGCTTTTATTCAGTCAGTGAATATACAGACTATTTTATAAATTTTAAAAATAAAAATAATACATATATATTTTAAGTTATGTTAGTTGTAATATTATTATTTGTTACTGTAAAATATTTGTAACTGTGCAATATTTAGAAACCTTTATTTTTTATTGTTCTTGGAACATATTTTATTTATTTGTGACTTGCTACAAATGTACTGTTTGTATATAACGTAGTGAATACATTCTATTCTATTCTTATATGTCCAAAGTTGTTTATTTTTCTTACAATATTTTCTTCCAACATATAAATCATCTTGAATATTTTGAAGTTTAGCACATATTTTAGTGGTGTTTCCTTTTTTAAAATCAATTTATAGGTACAGGATTTTGAATTAATCCCAAAAAAAATAAAATTATTTTATGTTGTGGTTTTCTCTATAAAACACCCTGTATAAGAAATGTGTACTGTGCAATATTTTTTTTTTGCTTGGGAACTTGCCATTTAGCCAGTCGCGTTGAAATATATTATATAAGTTTAAATTGCATTATCACTCTAAATACATACATTCAATCATACACACTTTTGTCCTAAGCAATGTTGTATCGCCAAAATACCATATTAAGTAGTACTTTCTGAAAATATGTTTACCTGATGTCACAGTAGAGTTAATGGGTTTTTGGAAAAAAACTGCTGTCATACATTTGTGAATCAACCTGTAATCATAAAAAAATTAATTGTTACATATTATGTTCTAATATATTACTAAAACATGTAGTAAACATGTGTATTAGGGTGATTCATTTCCGCAATTTTTTTTTTTTTTTTTTTTTTTCGGTGCTAAAGCAGAATATTAATCTATAATATATAGAAAAAAAATCTCACCAAGTTTGAGCTCTTAATATCAATTTTAAGTACTTACTATTTAAATTTAAAGTTTTACCATTTAAAATACATGTAAACTTTTTTTTTTTTTTAAATTTCTAATGCTTACCCACTTTTTACAATATTGCAAATCGCTTTGATGGACCTTGTGGGAATTTCACTCTCTTCGAAATTATATTCATTATGAGTGAGAAATTATAATTCTAAAAAAGTTCTTAGTGTAGGGAAATATAATGATAATCAATAGAAAAATATCTGATGTGTCCAACACATGACTTTCCTATCTAGTTAATATAGGTTTTTTCTGGTTATTTTGTACAACCTATTGCAGCACCGCTATAAATGTTTAGAGGATAAACTAAATATATACATTTTCCTCATACAACTACCTTCAAACATTTTTCTATAGATATCCATTGAAAACGAAAATAATGAAAAATTTAAATTTAGCACTTTTCCTACAATTTTTCCATTACGGTCCATTTTAGAAAAATCATGTATAAACAAAAATTATAGAGATCGATATCGCAAACAACTTTTAGTTCAACAATTTTCATAAAAATCAGAATTTTGCACATTTTGTCAAATTTCTCGAATACGGACCATTTCAGGAAATTTTGACATAAAGCAAAAATTATAGATAATAATATTAGAAGTAACTTTTATTTGAAGAAGTTTCTTCTCCAAACGTAAATAACAGATATATTCCATAAAATATAAAAATGACCACCTATAAAGTACCCCCCAGATGTTTCGACTCTGCCCAAAATCTAATCAATTCATTAGACGCTGAAATAAAGCTTAAGTTTAAAATTTGGTGTTTTTCTGTGTATCGGTTCATGAGTTATGCGACACACACACACACAGACATCATCGCGAAAATAGTCAAAACGGATTCAGGGGACCTCAAAACGTAAAAATCCGTCGAAAACTCGAGGTCGAAAAAAATCATGATTCCTATACTTTCCTTATATCTGTATACAGATAGGAAAGTAAAAAATCTAAATAACATTGAGTTAGTATTTATCAATTTCTTACGTTTTCAGTTATAAAAATGGCTGTAAATTCATTAAATATTGGTCGAATAACTTTTTTTTTGTCAGTCCTTTTTTCTCCATACTTTTGGAGTTAATTTTTTTTTTTCAAAAACTACTTTGACGACTCCTACTGGTGAACCAGTGCGAGTTACATAAAAAACTCTGAAGCAATTTCGAAGAGCATGAAATTCCCCACAAGGTTCATCAATTCGATTTGCATTATTGTAAAAGGTGGGTAAGCAATAAAAATAAAAAAAAATTACATGCATTTTAAATTTAAATAGTATATTTTTTTTCTATATGTCGATTAAAATTTTGCTTGAGCATCGAAAAAAAAAAAAACTTTGCTGAAATGAATCACCCTAGAGTGTATGCAGCAGAAATTCCGAAAATCTGGACAATTTTCAACTCTTAATACCCTGTATCTCTAAAACTAGCCATAAGATTAAGTTGGGCCCATTGACCCTTTTGATTACTAGGTTGAGTACAACATTGCGAAGTTTTAGAAAATTTGACAGGTTGCACACTTTACATAAGGAAAGTGCAGGGTCCTTTAACACCTTTATTTTGTTGAATTTTTATATATTTCTGCTTATAGAATAGATTTTTGCGGTAAAAATGGAAAGGTTATTTATTGTGATAAGTTTATAATGAATTTACAGAAATATTTTTCATATTTAACGTATGTCTTATTTTGAACGTCAGTCAAATTTTAACATATTCGTTATAGAATTACGTCAAAAAAAATCTTCAATGTCATTTATTATTTTCGAAGCAAAAATTATTCAAGAAATCTAAATTTGCGTAAACAACATAAGAAAAAATCCCATATGAAGCGAAATTTAACGATGATATTAGGCTTGTTCTGGTTTCTTCAAAATGTACTGCAAACTGTCCGAGATCCAATAATAGACGGTTTCTGCCTCTTTTAACCGTTACATATTGAAAAAATTGCAAATGTTATCCAAAATTTACTATATAAGATAGAAAAGAAATAATATATTACATACTCGTAAATAATAATAAATAATAAGTTGAGGTCGAACAAGGGGCACATATGCTATACCACAAACAGGATTATTCATTACAACTAATGCACAAAAGTAATAAAGTTGGCGCCTAGCTCAATAATAAGGAAATATTGAGTGTAGATTCTGATAATTACAAAATCATTATTTTTTTAGAAAAAAAGAAAATATTACATAATTGCTTTATAGCGATCTTTGTCTTAATCCGCGCTGAAATTCTCATTTTGTTGAACATTGCAAATCAACCCCCTACTTTGGCGCGTCGTAGAGCGGAAACTATTGGTCGCAGCCAAAAAAAATGTAGAGGGAAAAATTGTGCACAATTTTGTCCTGTACATATTTCATTTAAACTTTTTTTCGATAGCACAACGGCGCTATTTCCCGAAAAGCGTCGCGACGCAGAGTTTTCATGCCTCCACCCCTCGAGGGGCAACCCCCCGAGACGTCGCAAACTTAGATGTAGTTTCAGGGGACTCATGTCTACCATCCCACCAAATTTCATTTCTTTCCTACCTTTTGCGAATAGACCCTCTTAAGATGCCATTACACGACGTGTGGAGTGCCGCGCGTGGAGTGTCGTTCCACGCGCCATGAGAATGGTCAGACATGCCGATCTCCGCGCGGCGTGCCATGTCCCGTCTATTGTCGGTAAAATTTGCACACTTTAAACGAAAAGTCGACGAGGGGGCATATTCAAATGAAGATCAGCGACCCGCGCGGCTCGAAGCTTGCCAATCCACACGCCGTGTGATCGCGATCGCCCAAACGCGCATCGGCGCGGCACTCCACACGCTGTGTAATGGCATCTTTAGTCTTTACCCACCGCTTGGACTATAGTTGACTAGTGAACAATTTCAAAGTTGTACGCGACGAATAGTTTGATATTCAGCTGTTCAACTGGATTTCGGACGATTTGCATCAAATTTTAAAGAAACCCGAACAAACCTAACATGTTTCGGTAGAACCAGATCTGTACTGTGTTATTTTATTGCTTTTTTTGTAATAGGGTCTTCTCATGAAATAGAAAAATAAATAAAATGTAGATAGCATTCAATTATCAAATAAAGCGTGTACACATAATTAAACTGATACCTTTGACCCGACACGAAAAAAAGAGGGGAGCTGTACCGGCTGCCCTCGCCCTAAACCCTATTATAAGCAACATTCGTCTATTTATCTTACAGTTTCATGGCGGAAACGGAGGCGACAAGAAGAAGAAGCTGCAGAATTGCAAATCGAAATGAAAAAACCGCGTTACTATTACTATAGATTAGCCAGCGAAAGTTCGAAAAATTCCGAAGAGGACACGGAAAGCGTCTACAGTCTACAGGATCACGAAACCGGTAGGCTCCCGCTAATTTGTGTGGGATAAGTGGCACCTACTTAATAAATTATTTTCAGACGTCGTTAGGGATACCACTGATACCGATTCGAAGTCTGGCAGTGATAATGAATACGAATTAATCGAGTACGAAGTTGCTAGTTTATCGGAAAGTGATCATGCCGCTATACTCGGAAATTCTACAAGTGATTCAGATGTAAGTATTTGCAATGTTTATTTTGTTTTAAGAAAAATATTTATCTCCAAAAGGTTGGGAGACATGACTATAGAGCTAAAGTGACCCTTATTTTGTAAAGTAGAAATCGGGATAAATCGCAAACATGGATATTTCAGCAGTTCATTGAAGAGCAAAAAAAGGAAATCTTTAATGGAGTGCGTAGTTGTAAATAAAATATTTGTAATTAGGCGGGCAAAAGCGGGACACATATTAAAGCGGGACTAGTGCTTTAAAATCGGGATTGACCCGCTTAAATCGGGACGAATGGTCACTTTATTATAGACTCTTGGGATAAAAGAATGATTTAACTCGAGTCTATTGTTTATTATACAAGGTCTAACAAACCCCCGTCATAGTTCTAGGACTTAAACTATGCAGAACTTTATTTGAAAAAAATCTTTCTGTGTGGGTCATCAAAATCAAATATTCGGAAATTATTGTCATGTATACAGGGTGGTCAAATAGTAAATTAGGCAAATCTTTTTTTTTTTTAATGGAATGACCCAACTTTTTTTACATTTTTAGGTACTCAGTCATTAGTACTTAAGACTATTGTCACATCGTTGTTATTTAATGTCAATATGTCCTAAATTTTCTTATAATTCAAATTTTGTTTAGAAATCCTCAATTTAAATCAAATTTGACATATGACAATGATGTTTTATAATTTTCACTCGCTATACCGACATTACCCAACAATTTTGCATACAGGTAACTAAGTTAAATCATCTTATTATCCCAGGAAGTGATGTCCCAATCTTTTGTAGTTTACAGTGTTTTTGGCGCCCAACGTGGGCAAACATATAGTAAATACTGATTGTATTTAATTACCGTCGTTTTCTATGTTTGTTTTTATTAAATTTCAGGACCAAGTCATCTTTGCCGCTGCCATGGGAGCGATATGCGACGTCGACGTATCGTTGGAGACTTGGATAACGGACGGCGAGGAATCGGACAACAGCTCATTGGACGATTCCGTGGTGACCAGGTTGGGATTTTCGACTTGCGTACAATGCAATTTACAAAACGACAATCCACTTTACCGATATTGTGAAAAATGTTTTCAGGTATCTATCCGTTCCAGGTTGCGTAGCTTTAGGTTCGCATGATATCGTTAGGCCGGCGGGTTTTTTGTTCTTATTGGCAACGCATTCGAAGCTGTGGAATCGTTTCGGTTATTCGGTTGGGTTTTTTTAAATTCCGTGGAGTCGCGAAAATAATTTTTTTGGTCTCAAAAGAAGTTAAATCTAAAACATTGAGTAGTTTATTTCCTACAGAAAAATATTTTTTTTTGTAGAAAGATTTCTATTGCAGCACAAGATATATTTTTATTCTTTTGACTAAACTTCACAGTGTTGTTTATGATAATTATTGATATATTTTTTCTTCGAATTGTTTTTTTTTTTATTAACTGACTAATTTTTAAATTTATTTGTTTTATTGCAGGAAATTCTTGTAAAACGTTTTCTAAAATTAGTTTTAATATTAGATTCTTTTAAAAGGCTTCAAAAAGGTGAAAATTCTGCTTTGAGTGGAAGAATTTGTTATTTTTTGGAAATATTGTTTATAAAAAGGGCTGCAAAACCTTTGAATACAAATTATAAATCATATCTTTTTAGTCATATACCAGGTTTCTTAGAAAATATGACTTTTTTAATAGTGAAGTTTTTAGAATTTTAAAATTATCAACTCTGAAAAAAGGTTTAATACAAAAAAAATCTGAATAATACTGGGGGGTTAAGGGGGCTGAAATATTAAAAAAAATCATATCAACTTGAAATTTGTATCAAAATCAAACTATAAAGGAAAGAAGTCCTTTAATTTTAAAAAAACATCTGTTTAAAAATTGCGGGTTTAAGAGGGGTTAAAATTAAAAAAAATCGCAAACTATATAAATCTAAAATTTTTTAGTAAAAATCAAGTTCTATAAGGGAATGGATTCTATGGATTTTGAAAAAATCTGAATAAAAATTGTAGGGTTAAGGGGAGGGGGGAGGGGTTGAAATATAAAAAAAATCCTAACTCAAAAACGAAAAATGATATCAACTTGACAATCAAGCTCTATAAAAGGAAGAAGTCCTTTAATTCAGTTAAAAAAAAAAAAGATCAATTTGAAATCAGGAAATGAAAATGAAAAACAAAAAGCAGCATCAACATGAAATTTTTTTAGTAAAAATCAAGCTCTATAGGGAAAAGAAGCCTATTGATTTAAAAAAAAAATCCGAATAAAAATGGGGGGGTCAAGGGGCTTTGAAATATTTAAAAAAAATCTTAACTTAAAAACGAAAAATAATAACTTAATATTTTTTAGCAAAAATTAAGCTCTATGTAAAAATGAGGGGTTAAGGAGGGGGTTGAAATATTTAAAAAAATTAATAAATTAAAAATAAAAAGCGATATCGCCATAAAATTTTCAGTAAAAATCAAGCTCAATAAGGACTTAGATTTTTTTTTTTCTTAAACAAAAAAAATGGAGGGTTTAAGAGGGGTTGAAATTAAAAACAAAAAGCGATATTAACATGATATTTTTAGTGAAAATAGACCTCTATGGGAAGAAGCCTATTGATTTTTAAAATAATCCAAATAAAAATGGAGGGTTAAGGGGGTTTTAACATTTAAGAAAAAACCTTAATAATTCAATAGCGAAAAATGATAACAACTTAATTTTTTTAGCAAAAATCAAGCTCTGTAAGGGGAAGAAAAATATAAATTGTGTAGAGAAAAAATAGGGGGGTTGTTGTTCTAAGGGGGTTGGATTTCTATATATGAATTGTATATGACAACTAGCTGTTGCCCGCGGCTTCGCACACGTGGAGTAGTGTTTTTAGTATAAAAAAATGAATGACTTCCTAAAAAAAGACGCGATATGTTGTTTTACTGTTCACGGTATTAGTATTATGGATTAATTTTAATTAGACTATTATAATATTTAAATATATTAATCTAACTGATAATCTCATTTTATACCACATTTTTGGTACGGCTCTCATCTGCTAATATCACCAGATTGCACGCAGTACTTATTTTTATTGACTTTTATTTCCCCCCTCTTAATAATATGTGAAAATCCAAAAACCATGAAACAAATCATTATTTATTTTTGATCAGTAGCTGTATTTCAAATTTTCACAATAAAATATATACATACTTTCAAACAAATTTTCACCATTAAAAAGAGGTGACTAAAATTGAGTTTTTATTTTTTTTCTAAAATTTCAGTAAAGCTAGAAACTTGAAATGTTGTCATTTTCGTGCACTCGCAAAGGACTAACCACGGGTATTTTTTCAATATTCCTGTTACATTATAGGGGGGTGAAATTAACAACCCTTACTTTATTTCATATCAAAACTTTTTTTCGAGATGAAGTTTTATGAAATAAAATTATAACTTGAAATAATTGTTTTATTTAAAAATTGAAAAAATACCCGTGGTTAGTCCTTTGCGAGTGCACGAAAATTACAGAATTTCAAGTTTCTAGCTTTACTGAAATTTTAGAAAAAAAATAAAAACTCAATTTTAGTCACCACCTTTTAAGGGTGATATCTCGGAAAGGGGTGGGCTGCGGAAATTTTGTTATAGGAAAGACTCATCTTAATTTCATACGAACAATCACCTCCTGAATTTTTTCGCATGAATTTAGAAACACCCTGTATATAGATTCGTGTCTAAATAAATAAATAAATAAGTTTTTTTTTTTTTTTTAATTAAAAAGACTCCTTTATATTGGGATTTTCATCAGAGTTCAGAATATCTTCAAAATTGACGCTTTTTTATGGTAATTTTTTTTTTTTTCAAATTTGTTTTGATTGGTGGTTATTTTTTTCGCGTTTTTTGTTGTGGTTTAATTTCCAGAATTGTTTACCGTTTAACCTATTTCATCCAACTAATACAAACAAACAAATACAGTAAGTATAACGAAGTAAAATAGGAAGGAAAAATTAAATATAAAACCATGTTTTACATCTCTAATACGTAAAATAAAATTTAGAATGAATTTTGAAGAATTTAATTTAGAAAGTTACTCCTGAATCCTTCAGATTAAAATAATTTTAGATACCTTCTAATTTCTATAAAAATTAATTTACATAATTTGATAATTACCTGTAACTGTTGTGAATTATTCGAAATAATAATTTAAAAAAAGTTAATATTGAATTAAATTCTAAAAATACGTTTTTCTTGATACACTATTTGAAAAAAGATCAGAATAGATTTAGTTTTACTAGGAATTCTCAGGTCTCTCATTTCAACTGGTGGTGAAATATTTCACAACAAACTTGTTTTGTCCTGACTGATTCTGCTTATTATGATTCACCCCAGCTATAAAGTTAATCGCCGAAGTGGTCCCATTGTTGGGAATGTAAAGTTTTCCAACAAGCCCGGACAAGTTTGTACATGCTTGACCGACTTGTTGATGCAATTACAATTGTATTTGTTATAATTGATATGCTATCGTCATTTTATTATGTGAATCACTGTGGTTTTATTTTTAATCTTTCTTAATTATTTTAAAAGTATTTAAAATTCATGCAGTTTTGAAAAGGTGGACAATCAAAATTAATTCAGTAATATTGCAGATTAACTTATTTACAATGAGCAATTCTCCTGATATTTAAGAAATTAAAAGATAATTACATATAAATATAAGTATCGTTTATACCGGGTGTCCATTTTAAAGTGTTACAGTCAAATACCGCCGAAAATATGCATTTTAGAAAAAAAAGTTTCAGACAAAAGTTTTATAGTTTTTTGGGGGAAATATTTTGGCTAAATTCATTTTTTTGTAGTTGGCCATAATATGGCCATATCGAGGTGGACTTTGTTTTTTTAAATGGGAATCCCATTTTTTTTCTTACATATTCTTAAAGTACATAAAAAAATAAGAAACTTTTGAGAGAAATATTTTTTTTATTGGAATTTTGAGTAACAGCTACAGCTACTTGAAAAAGTTGGCTATATTATGGTTAGCTATAAAAAACGATTTTAGCCAAAAGTTTTTCCCCACAAAACTATAAAACTTTCGTCTGAAACGTTTTTTTTTATATAAAAAGCGGTATATAGCTGTAACGCTTTAAGTTGAACACCCGGTATAGTTTTTATTTTTACCAAATTTTGAGAAAAAAAATTATTTAGACGTAGTTTTAAACTTTAATATAGTAATAAATACGAAAATGGCGTCGTTTCTTGGAATGCTATTGACTTAACTAATTTTGTATTAATTGGACCCGATTATTAAATTATAACTATTAAATAGTTAATGCGAAAAGGGTCGCAATTTAAAAAATACTTTTGTATACTTACCTATGAAAGAAAAGAAAATATTTAGATAATACAATTTCCCACCAACTTGGGATAGCTTATACAAAACTACTATTTTGTTTCTTTTTAACCGACTTCAAAAAAGGAGGAGGTTCTCAATTCGTCGCAATATTTTTTTTTATGTATGTTCAGCGATAATTCTTTAACTCGGTGTCCGATTTCAATGATTCTTTTTTTGTTAGGGGTCCCATATAAATTTGGTCAAAATCTAATAATTGGATCCATGAGAAAATCCTCAAACTATTAATTTTTTATGTATGTTTAGCGATAATGCTTTACCAACTTGTCCGATTTATATGATTCTTTTTTATTTTGTTAGTAAGGGGGTACCTCAGGGGTGGTCCCATATAAATTTGGTTAAGATGTGGTGATGGCATCTGCACGTTTTTGAAGTCGGTTTTTTTACATTTTTAATTTCTAATACTTGTTCTAAAGCTTATTTCCATGTAGCTAAAATAATGTTCTCTGATGAAGTATACCATCCTTTTCCACATTATTGCTATAATAATTTTTAGAGATGCCAAATAAGTTCAATAGAGTTGACTATAATATAATGGTAAAGAAGTAGTTGAAGTACTTTATGTCCATGTTTTTAACAGACTTCAAAAAATTCGTCAGTATATTTTTTTATGTATGTTCAGCGATAATTCTTTAACACGGTGTTCGATTTCAATGATTCTTTTTTGTTAGTAAAGGGGTACCTCAGGGGTGGTCCCATATAAATTTGGTCAAAATCTAATAATTGGGTCCATGAGAAAATCTTCAATCTCTTCATTTTTTAAGTATGTTTAGCGATAATTCTTTACCACATTGTCCGATTTTTATGATTATTTTTTTGTTAGTAAGGGGGTACCTCAAGGTTGGACCCATATAAATTTGATTAAAATGTAGTGATGGCATCTGCACGATTTTGAAGTCGATTTTTTAAAATTACCTTTAATACCTGTTCTGCTAACACATGCATCATATACTTCTGCTGGTTTTTTGTAAAATTGATTAATCTTTAAAACATTTTTTTACGATAGTAAATGATTTAATAATAGCTATATTAAAGAAAAGTAGAGCTTTCCTGTTATTCAATTTCTTTTTGAACTTTATAAATTTGATGATTTAAACTCTATTATGAATTAGTTTAGTATTAACATAATATATTTAGAAATTTTTATATTAACTTACATATGTACCAAATTTATTAACTGTTTTGATCAAAGTTGTTTCAAAAGAAATACCATTTTCAGTTAACCAGTTCTTTATATCAACTTTTTTGGCAGCTATTGGGGTCTATTCTATAAAATATCCTTTAAAATTTAACTTTTAGCCTGCCCGTTAATTTTTTTAATTGATAGCGGTATTTTCTATCTACAATTTTTAGAGGGCTGTTAAAAATTATTAATTTTAACGGAGTCCTTTAAAATATCGAAAACTCTTGGCAACGTCGTCTTGATTAGTGATTGCGATTCATTTGAACTAATTTTGGCCTAAGTTATGCATGGGAGAAATTAAAAAGAAGACCAACATAACCAAACAAATTAATAAACTATAAATTAAATCTAAAAATGTTCTTAAAATATAAATTTGGGTCGCTAATTGACCTTCGATGTAATCTAAATGCTGCCCTGAAATATTAAATGTAAGTATTAGCTTTACGTTAAAACTGATATGTACTTCAAACATTTCTTAATTTTTCAGTATTTCTTCAATCGAAACGTTAAAATTACATCATAAAAACATCATTTTCGAGTTTCGATGTTTACAATCGTCAAAATGCTGATTTTTATAGAAATTAAATAATTTTTTTTTGCTTTAATGCATTTACCACAATTTTTTTTTAAATGTACTATTTAAAATACGCTCTTTCTGATAAAAAATAAATTTCTTTAAAATTCTACTGTCCCTAAAGTCGTCCGGACCTTGACAGTAGTGAGTTAGTGAATAGGAAAGTATCTTTAAAGGCCGTCAATATTTTAACGAATGTTAAAATATAAAGGAATTTATCGACCATCGTACTGTGGTAACTGGCATTATTCATAATAATTGTAGAAGGTTTCTAAGTTCAATAAAAGCTGATATTCAAACCAATGCAAAAAGCTTTCTCTATTCATTTCGCCATGGTAATCACCATCCTGTGTCTTGAAAGAAAATACTAACTCTTCTCCAGAAACAAATTCAGAAGATGTACCTGTATAAAGTGATAGAAATACCCCAAGTCCTCTGACAAAAGTGTCGCATTTTTAGTTACAGTTTGCATATGTCTTCTAATTTCAGTTGCGCTTTGTTGCAGACTTGTCACTACTTGCCGTTGTACCTAAATTAATAATAAATGGTTCTAAATCAGCAACATCTAATTGCTTATATTTTTACCAATCGGAAACAATTATTGCCTCCATGGACAATTATGTATCGAATTCCATCTCCAGTTTTTTCTCTCACTTCCTTTGCTATATACTCTAGTCTCATTCATAAATAAAGGCTTAAAGTTACCTAGCTTTATCTCCTTGAAATTTTTCAAAAAACGAATTTTTTTATTGAATCAACGTATGTAACGATTTCATTGTTACATGTTGCGCATCTTCGTACATCTTATTTATAACTTGCCTCAACTTACATAATATTAAAGAATTGACCTTTGTTTTACTTTGACTTACTTTTTTTAGACATTATTTTTACATTTTCTGTATCAGAATTTGTTGGTTTACTAAGTCTATAGATGTCTACAAAATATTTAATGCATCACAAATAGATTTGTGTCTCTTAAAGGAGGTCCTTTCGCCACACCTCTCGCCTCAAATGTTAAAAAAGAAGTTATTAAATTATGACTAAAATTATTTTTTTTTTTCTAATAGTTGAAGTCCTTATTTATCTAATACTGAACTTTTAACTATACCTTACCTTGCAAATTTTTGAGAATTTTTTTTTTAAATGTATTTGTACAGTGCTTCACGAGAAAGTAAGTCCTCAACAACAATTCTCGAATTATACTATTATTTATTGATTAGATGGAGTAGAAAAAAACTAAAAATAAGGATTTTGAAATATTTAGATTTTGTTTTATACAATAAAATATATATAGTAAACCGTGGAACTTATTGAGAAATTAATATTAAAAAATCACAAAAAAATTTTCAAGTAACCTAGTTGAAAATTTTTTGTGATTTTTTAATAATAATTTCTCAATAAATTCCACGGTAACCTATATATTTTATTGTAAAAAACAAAACCTAAATATTTCAAAAACCCTATTTTTAGTTTTTTTCTACTCCATCTAATCAATAAATAATAGTAAAATTAATTATAATTCGAAAATTGTTGTTGAAGTCTTACTTTCTCATAAGACACTGTACAAACACACACATTTAAAAAAAAAAAATTCTCAAAAATTTGCACCGTAAGGTATAGTTAAAAGTTCACTATAAGATAAATAAGGACATCTACTATTAGAAAAAAAATAATTTTAGTCATAATCTAATATTTTTTATTTAACATTGGTGGCGAAAGGACCTCCTTAAAATAGGAAACTATGTATTGGATTAAAGTTTTTGATTGATCACTAAATTGTTTGACCATTTTGTTGAATACTTATAAAAACTTTTGCAATATTAAAATTACAAATTTTTAACAAATTGAAGAATTCAAAATTATTTTGACTGCCTCCTGACATAACATGATATAATTAATCTACGACATGCCAAAATCTAGTATCTTTCTATTTCATACATTTCATATTCAAACAAAGAAAGCCAATGGATTTTCCGTTATTTCCGAGACTTTATCTCTTTTTATATTTAGATTCTATTAGCTCCAAATTAACAAGTTAAAATCAAGGTACGATATATCTCAGTTTACTCAGTAGGTAGTCCCCAACTTCGTGGGTTCGAATCTTACGCTTGGTGTCATATTGAAACCTATATTTTTACTTGTTCATCGAAAGTGGCATAACAATGTTTATATTGAGACTTAATGAATACAAAAAAATCCAACCAGAAATTCGATTCGAAAATCGACAGCTCTCGAGATGCCATAAAGAATATTTGTACTCCTGTCGGCCGCAAAGTGAATTAACTGAAACTGTGAGACAATGATTTAAACATGGAATCATGCGAATCTAGGAGTGACTTAGTTTTAAAGTAGGATTTAAGTGTTACGTTTAGTGTTGTGCGCCGTAAACTTCCTAAATATTCATTTCTAAAGAACTGGTAGTAGTGCTATTGCACATATACACATACGCGCTTAGGATAAAAAAACAGGTAACATAATGATTTATAAAATGCAGTAAATCTACACAGGTAAACTTTTTTTTTTTTTTATTTTAATCTTATTTATTTTAATGAATGTTATACATCCCGATTTATTATAGATTTAAAAAAAAAAGCTCAGTATGACCTCGGGTGTTCAAATTGGATATAAATGTTGCCAGATTTTTAAATTTCACGTTATTTGTGGAAAATAATGTTGATTGAAAATCGTATAATTAGACAACTATTGGCAGCATTGCTCTTTGTGACTGAACAATTCAGGTACCTTATTTTAACCATTATTCAATGGACAAAGAAGATATGATATAATTTACTAAAGCGCCCTCTATAAGCAGTCACAAAATAAGTTACAAATTCGTATTTCTCATGTCAAAAAAGTTAAAAAACTAAATTTTTCTCCTCTCCTAAACCAACAGCAATTTTATAAGGCATTGTTCATTCTTAATGAATCATCCTATATATACTTTATGGATGTATTGTTAACTCAGAAGTAATTGAAACTAACCCTCTTGGTAAATCTTAATAGAATAATTATTACTGATTAGAAGACAATAAACTATATTTCCTGATATATCAGCTGATTGACTCTTACATTATTGGATTATCATAATATGCAACGCCTAATTAACTCCAAATAATTATTAATTTTCACTTCGCAGGAAAATAATAGAATTAAATGTATTTCTTCTCATTTAGGATGTATGTAAATTATTATAAATCTATTTTGTGAACTATTTTTGTCAAATAAGTATTAATTTAATATGGGATGTATAACAAAATGTGTTACTGTTTATTATACTTAAATATGTTTCTGTTTGATTTGGTCGTTTTTGAAAAGGTAAAGAAAATAAACTCATGTTAATACTACGTGCCAGCAAGCTGATTTCTTAGATTTAATATAAAATAATATGTTTTTTGTTTATCTTTAGCTAAAAATATCACTGAAAAAAAAACTCAGTTAATGAATTTTTCTTTTTTTTTTTTTTTAATGATGCAGCAGACGTGCAAACAATGCAAGAAGCGCAAGACTTACAAATGTTTCCCGTTATGTATAACTTGCCACAAGGTGCGTTTCTTATTGGTAGTATATTATGAAGTAAAGTATTTTCGATCATTTTAATATTTAAATTTCACATTGTGTCGTTAATAGATGCAACTTTTTGCTGTATTACATTTCACATTGCTTTAATGTACATATTTTAACCATCAAGTGCTTTTTACTCATTGGTATTTAAATGTTTCTAATTTTGCACAATATTGTAAGTATATTTTGATTACACTCAATGCACCTTTATTTTTTATTCATATAATGCATATTAACTGTAGGTTTAAGGATATACAATTATAATATATCATATTGTATTCTGTTAATGTAAAAATGGTTATTGGGATTATTATTTTTGATCATCGGTGTTTTAATTAATCGAAATTTATGATATAGTTGTTTTTTTACATATCAAAGTTGAATATGTAGTTGGTATTTCAGAAGAAGATAAAATAATTGTTTTGTTTTCAAAATACTTCTTAAAAAGACATAAATATCCAGTAAATAGTTTAATACTAAAAATTAGATACTTTTAGAAAAGAAACGTGCAATTAAACAACTATAACATATTTTTTGATTAATAAATGAACAGGAAGGTATTTTAATTTGTTGGAAACCTAATAAAAACCGTTGCTAGGACCGGAAGAAATTCTACCCGCCTCGTCCAAGGAAGAAAGCGAAGCGGAAGCCCAGTCGTTCGCCTGTCAAGTTAGACACTCTACGTTCTTGTCTTAGCGGACTGTCGTCTCAAGATTCTGGAATCGGGTCGAGTCAAGAGTGTCCCCCGTTGGATTTGGACCAGATCGTCGTTCCGGATCAACACCTTAAACCAGGTTAGTACTAATAAAACTATTTTGTTAATTAATTGTTGAGGGAAACAGAAAGGTCCTTTATGCAAGCTTTTTCCTTCTTTCATATCTTTCATGGCTTGCAATACGCATCTGGTCTAATATAACCAATGGTAAAGAATAGATATGTTTGCCTGATTTTTGTTTAGGGGAGATCAATTTAGGAAAAATGTTAGGTTAGGTTAAAAATGAGTCGCCTTCCACCACGACTTAGATGGATCTATTGCGGTTCGTGACTATAGTACAGTACAAGCCACCCCTTTTGATGAATAGAAGTGTTAGTCTTTTTACGGTTCAGAATTACATTTGTTACAAGTAAAATTGTGGAAATTCCTATTGTAGTACGTTTTGTATTCCTAGCATTCTACAATTGTTATAATCGGAAAGGTTAAAGTTTTTATAGTATATTACATTACGAGTGTGGAAAGTGACATTTTTCACACGAGTGGGAAATATAGTCGCACGAGGCGCAAGCCGAGTGCGACTATCACACGAGTGTGGAAAGTGACATTTTTCACACGAGTGGGAAATATAGTCGCACGAGGCGCAAGCCGAGTGCGACTATCACACGAGTGTGGAAAATCACTTTTCACACAAGTGATGTACAATATTTTTCCTACGACCACAAAATAATGTCATCAAAAAAATGTAAAACCAAGGTTATTATTACTATAATAATTAAAATGTATTTAAAAAAATAATCAACAATAATCGTATTTATTCAATTTTCATATTTTCTAAACAAAAAAAACTAAAAAAAATAAAAAAAAACAAAAAAAAAATTCTGCCTCGACAGGATTTGAACCATAGATTGAACGCGGTCGAAAAATGGCAAAATTGATAAGTTCGACGTCCTAACCAGCTGAGCTAACAGCCCTTGTGTCAATTGAATGATCTAATCGGTTATGTATTTAACCAAAATAAAGAGCAAATATTATTTTAAAATTATTTTAATAATAATTGTTAAAGATAAATATCTAGGATCTAATTTACAACAATTTCAATAATTTAACAATCATATCGATTTTAGTATTAATATGGATATTACATAGATCAAAATAGAAATTAGCTTACAAAATAATATCAAAAAAATGTAAAACCAAGGTTATTATTACTATATTAATTAAAATGTATTTAAAAAAATAATCAACAATAATCGTATTTATTCAATTTTCATATTTTCTAAACAAAAAAAAACTAATAAAAAATAAAAAAAAAACAAAAAAAAAATTCGACTCCGCCAGGATTTGAACCATAGATTGAACGCGGTCAAAAAATGGCAAAGTTGATAAGTTCGACGTCTAAACCAACTGAGCTAATGGGCCTTACGTCAATTGAATGATCTAATCGGTTATGTATTTACCCAAATTAAAGAGCAAACATAATCTTAGTTATTTTAAAATTATTTTAATAATAATTGTTAAAGATAAATATCTAGGATCTAATTTAAAACAATTTCAATAATTTAACAATCATATCGATTTTAGTATTAATATGGACATTACATAGATCAAAATAGAAATTAGGCGTTTGACATTTTTTGAAGTAACATATTCTCACTTGGGTGGAAAGTAAATTCTTAGTCATACGCGTGTGATATAGGACACTTTCCATAGGACTATATAGTGTGATATGTGTCACTTTCCTAAGTGGTCGTAGGAAAACGTATATTTCAGTTTACAGTTCGTTTTAGCAAAAATATAATGATTGTTGTTCGTGTTCAAATATTTCTTGAAGGTTATAATTTGGCTTAGAATCAATAGAAACGAAGAAAAAAATGTTAATTTATGACTTTAAATCTTTAATTTGATGGTTACTATTTATTTTTATCCCTTCGAGCATATACTTTTACTATTTTTACATCGAACAAATTTAAAGTTATATTTCTTTAGCTTCCTTGCTTTTTGAAATATTATTCGTAACCAGCTATCCGTAAACTTCTATTACACAAAACTTAGTGACAGACATTGTTTCGATAGAACACGTTGTCTTCGACTGTGGTGATGTTTACGCTTCTAGCTCGAAAAAAAATCGGTTGTTAATGTGATTAATCACGAATGCTGAGTGAGCCACGTTGTCTAAAACAGTTGCAATTTTTGTTAAATAATTTAGCTGAGACATACATTTTGAATTTGTATAACAGTTAAACTTTTTTCTTTTTGGAATAAATGCAACAGTTGATTGAAATAACGTTAATGCGCAGACATACAATAGAACTTTTCGCAATTTTACTTGCAATGTATTACCTATTTCTATCTGTCATTTTTTAAAGTGCTTCCTTTAGGATTTGAAATAAAAACAAATGTTCAAAAACCATGTTAATGTTAATCATCCAGAAAAAAATAATAAAAATCATGGCTATATCTAATCTTTATCTTTTCTAAGTAAACTTATATGTGCAAATCATGTATTTCATTCGATATATCACATATTTTTACTAATGTTTACCAATATGCTTTTTAACATTGATGCAATAAATACCATAATATCCTTTTGTTGCAACACAAATTCACTGCTATAATTCACAATTATTTTTATTTAGATTTTGGGGAACGAATGGTTGTTCAAATTCCGATTTATCAACCGGAATTTGAACAAATTATTTTAAATCAAAGTGTTTTAATAGAATAGAACAAATTAAAAATATAATTTCGTAATTCTATTTCATACTTTTGATATCGACTCCGTTGTATATATATATAAATCGTTTCATTGGTGATTTGATTAAGATGTAAATCACACGTCACTTTACCTTTTTTCTTCCACCTACAGGTACGTCTGAAATTTCAACTATACCGGATAACTTGAATAAGGAACACGCGTCAAAGGACATCGAACGAAACTTAAAACGCAAGCGTCAAGCTTCCGAAAGCAGTCTCTCCGATTTCGATATTAAAAAACCGAAACTAAATCGTATCGCGTCGTCACAAAAAGATCGTAACGTTCGCTCCTCAAGTCGCAATAATTCACAAGTCGCTCAAACTTTATCCGACGTAAAACCTTCTACGTCAACCAAGAATTTGGGCCAACGAGCGTTATCTCTGAATCGAGCCTCGAACGAGTTAAGTCAAAAATCTACAGAAACTTTGAGTCAAAAATCGATAGAAACTTTGAGTCAAAAATCGACAGAAACTTTAAGTCAAACATCGACTGAAACATTGAGTCAAAAATCGACAGAAACTTTGAGTCAAACATCGATAGAATCATCGATACCGTTGAGCCAAACATCGGAGAGATCTTTAACTTTGAGATCGGCTCAAACTCAATATAAACCGTTGTCGTTTAGCCAGAATTCGGAAGTTAGTACGAGTACCGGTTACAGCAGTACTTCGACGTTTTCGGAATCGTCCGAGCTATGTATAATGTGTAACAGTGCGCCGAAAGACAGCATCTTCTTGCACACGAACATCGGTCATCAGTGTTGTTGTTACAGATGCGCGAAACGCACCCTGCACACCTTCAAGAGGTGCCCCATTTGCAATAGGTCAGTTAACAAAGTTATTAGAATATTCCAAGCCTAGCGGCTAGTACATAATATTTGTCTGTTAAATAGCGAACAAATAATAATAATGTTTTTATTAGGTGTACAGTTCGAATTTCTATTTAATTTATTCAATTGTAGATTATTAGTTTTACTTATATTACGACAGGCGTTTCGTTTTTTCGATTTCGTATTTGGGGTCTTTAAGGTTTTGAACGAATTGTGGAGACGTCGTCGATATATTTATTGGCTGGGAGGTATCTAGATGTCGTGTTTGTTCATATTGACAGCTGAATGAAAAAAAAAACGATAAGATGATAGTATGATTGTAGCAATCATTTTTCTGTCTCAAGTTTGGTCGCATATCATTTTTCTGTCTCTAGTTTGGTCGCATATCATTTTTCTGTCTCAAGTTTGGTCGCATATCAGAATCGTATAATACATCAGTCCCGAAAATTTACAAACTGATGTCATATGTTATTGTCATATGTCAATGAATTTGTAGTCCTTCGCGATCAAAGGGCAATGGTTAGTTATTAATACTTTTGTTTAGAACACACTTATACGACAAAAATACAAATATAAAACCAATTTATGTATAGGGTTGTCATTTGCTGTAGCGCTTCGCATCGCGATGAACATAAATCACTATCAATAAATTGAATATATTACAAAAACATGAATTAAATGACATTGGTTTGCAAACTTTCGAAACTGAAGTATTAGGCATTCCAAATAAAATGGTTACCAGTGGGTTTTGACAGGTTTTGATATGGTAACATTATGGCAACACTGTGGGCTTGGTGATTTGATAGGATCAATGATATAGATAGTTATATAGATTGATCATCCATGTTTTATAAAATAGACATAAGCTTATGCCTTGGAAGTGTGTTATTTTTTTTTATATATAGCATCGATTTGCAGATATGTCAAAAATATTCTAGTGACACACCTTCAGAAAGGATGAAAGTCTTGAAAATTTCTAATTTCAAATTTTTAAATGAACATATAAGACTTAGAGAATTTTTCTAAAACGCGGGTAATTTTTTGCGCTACTTTTCAAACAAAAAAAAAAGTTTTTAAAGGCCATTTTCGGTTTTTTCACACCTTTTTAAGTGGGAACAGAAAAAGTACGTAGTACGTAATATACTATTTTTAATATATTCAAAGGCTAAAATTGGTTTGTAAACACATTTTTGCTAAACCGATTCGGATTAGTGAGCCCTTGCGAGGCAATATGGCCGCAAAAGACCCGCTTTGAGCAATCTATACAGCTATATATGTATCATTGATCCTGTCTTCACAGTGTTGTCATATCTAAACTATCAGTTCCCACTTGTCAGCATTTTGACAGGTCGTTGGAATACCTCATAGAAGTATATTTAGCATTATTCTATTTGTGCGAAAAGTTTTTTTCATTTTTATATTGAACCGTATAAAAAGAATTAGAAGAAGACTTGACAGCTGTCACTGCAGTTTCTCCAATTTTCTCAAGCTTAGAACGTATAAGCTTTGTTTTTCTTTTGGTAGAAATTTTAAATAGAATATTATCGACATCTAGATAGTTCGCTTCAGAAATTTAAGAGAGAAGACTGAACCAAAGAAATATATATTTGTACAAAATGTTTATTTATATATAGGTAGGTATTCTAAGTAGTTTTAAACAATTTGTACAAAGTAGTAATCTTAATAATTAAAATTATATATTATTATATGGAAAGATGTATTTAATATTTTGTTGTTTTGAAGGTATAGCCTCTTAAATTTTTGAAATAGCTTATTTCTGCTAAATCGGGGGCTTTATTAAGAATTATAAACAGTTTAATTTAACAGATGCACCTTTAGTTAAAAAAAATGATTTTGTTCGTTTATAATTTATCCTGGAATGCTTCTAACAGTTTTAGAAGTTTATCCTTGTATTACTAGTTTTCTTTTTAGTTTGCACTAGAATTTTTTCTTATGTTAAATGCCATAAAAAAATTATCCTGGTGTATTTTATTTCCAGAAATTGTAAAATTTTAAAGTTTTGTAGTTCAGGAACGTTCTAAATTCCTTATATATAAATTTATTGATGTGCAATGAGAAATGTTTATCGTTAAATAAATGTACTTAGTACAATATTTTTATTTCATTTTCAGTATATTTAATGTTGCCATAATGATTTTTAATGAACATTGTAATATTCGATAATTATTTATCCGTTTATTTTTCCAATTTTTCTGAAACTTATTTCCTTTTATTATCCTGAATTTCCTTTTCACATGTATTTTTCTTTTTTTTTTTTTTTTTGAAATATAACTTTAGTTTAAATATTATATTTATAATTATAAAAAAAATAAATAAAAAAAATATTACAAAACCATAATTATTTCAAAGAAGATAGCACAAGCACACCCCATCTTACTAAGCAGAGATTTTATCTCTTGGATCAAAATTAAGGTAAGGCCAGAATAAGATAAAGTTGCTACAAAGCATACTTGAAAAGAAGGAAAGTAACGAGTATTGCTAAAAAATAACGGAACAAAGGTAGGTAAAAAAAATTACGACGGAGTTGATTTTTATTTTTGGCTTTGTTTTTTAACATTCTTAAAAAATACGCTCAAAATGTACAGAAAAAATTAACTAAAAGATACTAGATTTCTTCATTATATGGGAAGTTTGTCATTAAAGTTTAGATGTAAAACAAAAATAATACAGGGTTTAATTAAATGATATGTATATATTAAAAATTTATGATGTCCAAAATCAAATTAACACCAAAGGACCAGGCAAAGTTGATAGATGTTGTTTTTAATAAAATGTTATAATAATTCTAGTCAAAAATGTGGTTCGTGCTCGCACAGATTGCAATTATCTCGCCTAGGCACAACATTCAAATTTTTGCAATAGATATTTAATACAAATAATTAAAAAATTGTAGTAATATAAGAAGTACAGGGTATTCAACAATACGTGTATCCCACGTGACTCTATTGATGATATCAGTTGGCTAAAACTAAGATTAATGACTTCAATAGTAACCTTAAAATAATGTCACTGGCCTATTTGACAGAATTGATGCTTACGTAATTATAAATTTTCATTAAATTTATTGTTTTACAAGATTACGTGGGATATGGGTTTTATTGAAGACTTGTATAGAAATTCAAAGCCTCTAGCCACATTTTTTTAGCTCAAACTATTGCCGAGATATTTAACAAAAACCTTGATATTTCTGATAAAAAAATTGCAAATGGGGGTTCATTGATCATTTGGAAAGAAACTATAGATTTTAAGAGCGTATTTTTTAAAAATAAAGAAAACAAGGTCTAAAGTAATTTTATTTTAAAAAGAAAACCTGTGATAAAATAGACTCATTTAAGGTGATCACAGTAAATTACAAAAAAAATGTTTCTGCCACGACGTATCTTTAGTAAAATAATTATAACCGCCTTTAAGAATAAACAAAGATTAAATATTGAATGTAGGATGTGGTAACTATTATGAATTTGTTGGATAATGGAACAAATAGTATTGAAACAATACCACAATGTTGAAAAATATCTCAAAACAAATATATAAATAGAAAGAAAATCATGACTCGTATACTATTGTTTTGTATATACAGACAGGAAAGTAAAAAGAACTTAAGAAAGGCAATATGTAAAAATATAGTGATAATAAAACAGTAAGTAGAACATTTCGAGGAACAAATGATGGTTACAAACCAAAAAAAATGCTCTTTTAAGACTGATTTAATGTATATATGTATAGGAGATTAAAATACACTGTAACAAAACTACTTTTGTGAAAAACAAGTTTAGTAGGTATAATAAAAATGAATTGTCTTCAGGCTGATTCATAGTTCCAGTAAGAAGATTAGATAAAAGTAAAAGGGCTTAAAAACTGAAGTAAAAATGAGTAATATACATAGAGAAGTATTAATAGATATTTACAGTCCTGTTACCATAATAATAAAAAAAATGGGTACCAAAAAATATTGGATTTGATATGATGTTTTTTTCAGTTTAGATTACAAAATACTCAAAGACCCAATTATAAGATTTTGGATAGGTGCTACTATATCGACATATTTATAGCCCATCCAGAAGTAATTTGGGAATGCTGTGCTTATATAAAACATCGAATTATTATTTTATTGCTTCTAAATGTCAAAAGTAAGTAGAGCGTTAAATGTAAAATCTACGGTTTTTTAATTCCAATATTTTGATTATATATGGGTCGCGTCCTGACATGTTTGTTGTAATAAATTGTCCGAACAATGCTCCGGAATTTGAAAAGCGGTACAAATTTTCTTCAACCGAACAAATTTGTATTACGTTCATATACGGGTTGTTAGGTATTATTATCCACTATTGAAAAAAAAAATTAAAAAGTATTTTCATAATTTTTATATTTTACAAGTACAAGCTATACAAGTATTTTCTCATTGAGGTACATAACATAATTATAAACTTATAGAAAACAGAAATATACATATATTCTAACAGTATTAGACAAAATTTTTGTATTTTAGTTTCAAATGTAATATATGATACAAAAGCACAAGAAATAAAAAAAAAAAAATTTAAAACATTAAAAATATTCGTTTATATATCACAAGACGAAACTGATCGACAAATAAAAACAAAACAATATATTATTTTAATAATGCAACATGTCACCTTTTAAAGGTTAATGTAATATCCAGGTATTGGTATTAATATTTTAGCTAAGTGAGTTCAGCTTTTCGTGCTTTAATTTTTGCAAATTGTTTAATTAAATCTTCGGTGTCTTAATTCTTTTAGCTGGTCTGATTCTATTGAAATAAAAGCAAGATTACTTAGTCGGTTTTGCTCCATGGTCGATCTTAAATATTATTTTGAGTTTTGAAAAAGACTGGTGTTTGTCAACCCTAAAGGGAATTTTCCAACTATTTAATATGAATCAAATATCTCCGCTTCTAGACAAAAAAACGTATTTTTTTCTATAATAAGTTAGGTACAAATACCACTTCAACCTGTCCTAAAGAGAACGACTTGCAAGATCAAATAGGGTGTTTTTCATCCCAATGAGAAAATAGTGGCAATCAGATACTCGGTTCCTAGACATACAATATATTTATTTTCTAGAATAAGATAGGTACAAATACCACTTTCACTATCTATTAAAGAGAACGACTTGCAAGGTCAAATAGGGTGTTTGTCAACCCCAAAAGGAATTTTCCGACTATTTAATATAAATCAAATATTTCCGCTCCTAGACATAAAAACATTTTTTTTAACGTAAGTTAGGTACGAATACCACTTTAACCTGCCCTAAAGAGAACGACTTGCAAGATCAAATAGGGTGTTTTTCAACCACAATAAAAAAATAGTCGCAATCAAATATCCCGGTTCCTAGTAGTGATGCCGCGAGACACGTATCAAGCTAGCAGAGCACCTTTGGATTTTTCACATTCTGAGTATGCCATAATTTTAGGCTAATTTTATACCAACAAAAAATTTTCCGCTCCTTTAGGTGATCTGGTAGCTTGACATCAAG